GAGAGAGTGTGTGTGTGTGTGTGTGTGTGTGTGTGTGTGTGTGTGTGTGTGTGTGTGTGTGTGACACAAAGAACTCCCTAAACAGGACTTTTTTCATCCGTTAATAACAGACACAGTTGGGAAAGTTTAACTCACAAGAGCTTCAGCCAAATTCACTTTACATTTCATGTTACGTTACGTTTACCAAAACAATGTTTATCTATTATCTTAAAATCTCTTTTCTTTTATATTCCATCTCAAAAACTTCATAACTTAAAGGGTAATTGGACTATTTGTACGTGTACGGTCAAAAACTGTTCCTCAACGGCGTCTCTCAAACAGGTTGCCCATCACTGTGGCTTTAGCACAGGCGCCTTGGGAATTGTAGTCCTTCATAGTGTGTTGACTATAGACGTCACAATTAGGTGGCCTTTCTTATAAATCAAAAATACTGGCTCTAAAACATACCATATTTTCATTAACAGTGCAACATCTCTTCTTCTGTTGCAGCGTGAGGCAGAAAGACTCAGACGACGGGTAGTGATCCATCCCAACCCGCTGCCTCACATCCACCAGGAGCACGCCGCGCTGCTCTGCATGGGCCTCCTCTTCCTCCTGATTGGACGGATCATCTACCTTCAAGGAAGTGCCAACAGCTAGGACTACTCTCAGGTTCAACCCCTTGGAAAATCAGCAGACCTAGCATTTTCCTTTATGATGTTTCCGAGTTGGATCCTGTTTGTCTCTGGAGACCTGATTTCTACCCTCTTTCCTCCGATTTTACCGAGGAAGAAGGAAACTTTTGACTGTCGTTATTTAAAAGGACACGATTGGTTAGTACCTTTAATGAACTCTAATATGCCCGGACTTTCGTTTTTTGTTGAGTGTTTGCGATACCACCAAAGAACCACAATGTTTTCACTCCTTTCCAGCGCAGATGTCGTCATATCAGCAAAACATGCCTGTGGAAATTCAAATGTGCCTTTTTAAAGTTTCCTGTTTACTCTTTTAGCTTCTTTTAAGGTTTTTTTTTAATGGACAGAGATTATGAATTCCTCAAGACCAGACGTTTTTTAAGTTTGCGGGTCCAATCTGCAGACTTTTCCCAATCATTCCCCCTGGTTTCAGTCTGGGAAGGTCCTGTTACCAACATGCAACATACCAACAACCTCTGTGGAAACCAATTGGGCCAAAATGATTGTTTTTATCCAACATTTTATACAAACGACTGTCATTTTTACGTTTTTTGTTACCGTGAATTACGTCTCTGCTTATGTCTTATTTCAGCCACAGAAATTAATAGTGTCCTGATAATTTGAGTACTGAATGATGAAGGTGTTGAAAAGTGTTGAGATCTCATGACGTGTGTTTTAAACCCCATTCGGACAGGGCTGAGGTTAGCTGGGTAATACAGCATTCTTGATTGTAAAAAAACAGAACATAGCGATATTTTCTAGATTAAAATACACATTTGGGACTAAACAATATATTCAAATTCCCCGTGGTTCCTCGGAAATGAATCCTGTCCGACTTCGGCTTAATACGGCATGTGTGTCATCATTAATAACAAGGGTCCATTTTATTTTGTGTGTCATATTTCAACACCCTGGGTCCGAGTTTTTTGGCTAGCTAATCTGTAATCAGGAATATTATCCCTTCAATGGTACTTCAAAACGATGCAACATCCTAACGCTCTTTTAAAGAAAGGTGGAAACACATTACTTTGCATTTCAGACATTTCCCATCTTGGAACGGCATGTTCTTTTTTTTGTGTTTCATGACTACTTAAACATTTTACAATTTACTGTACCTGCCAAAAAAAGACAAAGACATTAGTTTTAGAACGATAATAACCTTGGCAATAAACCTTCCTCTCTCTCTGTAACCTCTATCGGTCCCTACCTCCCTCATTTCAGAATCCTTTTTATCACCAAATGCAGTCAGTGTGGATGAATTCTTACAAGTGTCAAAAGCATTACTTTCCAAAATGATTTCCTTCTTTGCTCTGGTTGGTTTCAGCATTAAAACACAGGATTTGCACGGGAATAAACAAAAGCACTTTATTTGAGTATTTGTTGCTTCGCTGCCCAGTTGGAGTGAGACTCTTATACCTCATTCACACCAACGGTGTTTCAGGGCCGTTTTGGAGCTGGAGCGGGGCGGCCGGAGTTGCACTCGCACTGCATAACGCACGAAAACGAGACCGTTCTGTTAAAAGCCACGAACTTTACTTGGGAGGAGTCTAAGGGCTTCAGGTTATCCAAATAGTGGGTTTAGACCGAGGCTCGGTCAGCTCCACAACTTCCGACTCTCTTGTGATAGGGCCTGTACCACGAAAAAGATATGTTCGATAGGTACTG